ACTGTGACCATATTCAGTAACAAGTATAGTAAGTATCCACTCAGAAATCTGTGAATGATTCCAGAGTGCCCATACCCCCTTTTAGGAAGAAGGAGACAGAGTTTGATAGTAACTGTAGATGCTCCAAAGGACTTTTCATCTTTTTGAGCCATTTGGCAAAGTGATAAATCCAAGGCTTTGCACAACTTTGACAGATGGGGGTAGATGCCTTCAGTGATGACTGGGAACCCAAATCCAAGCTAGTTCTTCAAAGCACTCTCTTCTGATGAAAACAAATCTGGTTTTGCCCACATTCATTTTCAGCCCTCTGCTCTTCACCCACGACACTGATTGCCCTGAGACTAACCTAGTAGTTTCCAACCTTTTTAAGTAGATCACCTTAGGCATTTAAAAGCAACCCAAGATCTACTGTGTGGCACCCCCCAACCCCACCACCACTTAGCAGGTAAGTCTGTGGGGAGGGAATTGGGGGGCAGATTGAGGCAGAGGGAGAAAAAATGATTTGGGGGCATGCCCCCCCCAGCAGATAGGTTTGTGGAAGAAGGGGCAGGGGGAGGGGAAAGGGCTGTGGTGGGGCAGATAGAGGCCCCAGCCCTAGCCCCTCTTTCTCCCTCACTGCTGGGGCCTCGAACTGCCCCCCACAAACAGCAGGGAGGAAGTGGGGCTGAGGCAGGGGCAGGCCCTGCACAGCTAGGGTGCAGGATGGAGCCGCAAGCGGCTCATCTGGGGCCCACGGCGGGGGGAGCACACACCCTGGGAGGGCACAGGAGTGCGCATGCCCCTGAATCTGCATGCTGGCTGGCTTGCCTGCTGCTGCGGGCTGGGGTGCGCAAGGAGGTGAGCTACGTGGGGGGCTGCAAGCACACGAAAATTCGCCATAGCCCGCCCCCCCCCTCCCCAGCTCTACCACCACCCGGCCCAACTGCAGCGAAGTGCAGCCCAGACCACCGCGAAGAGCACAGCACTGCCTTCCCCTTCCCCCTGGAATCTGTGCGGGGAGTTGGGGGCAGCAGGCTGGGGCTGGAAGACAGCCGTGCTCTTTATGGCGGCTGGGAACAGGGCTATGGCAAATTTGTGGGTGCCTGCAGCTCCCTGCAAAGCCCTGCTCTTAGCACTGCCTGGCGCGCCCTGGCCCCAGTCCGCAACAGCAGCCAGCCTGGCTGGTGTACAGATCCAGGGGCATATGCTCCCATGCTCCCTCCTGAGATGCATGCCCCCGCATTCCCCGTGGCTCTGTCCCATGTCCTTGGTGTGCACCGCCTGCAATGCCCAGTGTTTTGGGGGCATCTACCAGTTGATCAAATTAACCAGTTGGCGACCACTGCTCTAACGTCTTTCTGAAGGTACTAATCAGTTTTGTGGCATATGAGGTTAATCTGAGATCCCAAAGACTATCGTAGTTCTGCTACCTGTTTTATATGGGGGGTGCAGTAGTATCTCACAGTAAACTGCATCAAAAGCACTGAGATACAGCTTCTTTCTGCTACTATATGGAGCTCATCTTTTGGAGCTACTAGGGCCGTATCAGTGCTGTACTCATAACCAGAGTGTGAGTGTGAAGCATCCAGGAAGCCATATGCGTTTTTTGGAGTTTGATCTCTTCAATGATTTTCACTAAAAGTGAGATTCGGAAGAGTTGGAGAGGTCTTATTCTGCATCAAGCATTGGTTTCTTAAGGACTGGACAAATTTACTTTTCTGAAGGGGGAAATCATTAAATTCCATTAGAGATGAAGATAGTTAATAGCTGTGCGATGGTTTAAAAATTACAGCAAGGTTACCTTCCAATTACATTCTATAGAAGTCTTATACAAGGGTCAGCTCTTCAGTACAAGCATTTGCCCGTGTCATTTAATAACTTTTTAATATGAATACATGTTTTGACATCTTAAATGCTGCTTTATCTATACCAGTCATCAAAAGCTACTTTAAGAAAGAGAAAAAAAAATGGAATGGCAAATCAAAGAAGCAAGCTTGGAAAAATTGCTCATGTGACTGTCATACTGACTATAGTTTCCACCATTTTTAGCAGGATATAGAACATTCAATGAATACTAATTTAATCATGTTGCATGAATGTTGCATCATACTGTCCATGGCAAGACACAAAGGAAGTGGAGGGCGGGTAGGGCGGGGGGTGCAGGGAAGGAAACAGGACACAAAAATTTCAAGATTACTTGAAATATACCTTCCAGTCACGGGCCATTTTACTATGACAATAAAATTATTACAATGGTATTGAGGAACCAAATTTTTTGTACCCTCATCATAAGGGACAGTCTTAAAAGAAACAAAAGAACTCCCATTTAAAAAACCTCTAAATCAAATGACAGACCTTGAAAAAATGCACCACAATTGCACTATAGTGTGGAAAACAGCTTTTAGGAGATTATTACCTGGAATATACTGGCTCCATAAGGTGTTCTCCAGGCATTAAGAAGATTATCTTTTCCAGTGCTTACAAACCATTTGCCTGCAATTAAAATACACCCCAAAACAGATTAGTCAGAGAAAATAATTAATTTTCATGTTAACAAAAAATATATCAGAACAATCAAAAGTTTTAACTGATTAGACTATGGTTTTGTTTTGTTTTAGCTACAATATAAGTATTTTGTAACAAAAAGCATTCATGCAAGGGAAAAATAAGTTTAATTTTAATACTTAAATTGAACATCTGGTTTTAAATTTCCACTGTATTTATTCAAAAGAGATTTGTCAAGAGAGAGAAAATGCTGGCAGAGAAGCTGTTGCTTACCACAGTGAGCAAATTTGAGCGATAACACACAGCTCTCATGAAGATGTAGCTGATACTTGTCTGGTTTAGTAACATGCAGAACTTCAACGTTACTGTTCTCCATTCCTACTGCCAACCATTCACCAGTTGGACAATAGCCCAGTGAGAAGATCTGGAATTAAACACAGCACAGGCTTCAATAATTAAGGGAGGGGCTTGAAATGTTCAAAGCTGATTCCTACCACATTGTCACCACTGTTCAAAAACGTGAGCAACATTTTGGTTTCCTATGACAGTTGTTAAAAGATGCTAATTCAATTACTATAGTAATCAAGATAAATTAGTTCATGTACACAAAACTCCATTTAGCTATACAAGTTAATATCCTAGCCCATCCAACAGCCTTAGAAATATTTTTGTAAGATCTCTTTGAACAAAGAGCTACAAGAAATGATACAGATTGTACATCAGCATACTTGAGTCTGGCAATTCTCCTTTATAAATAAGATTGCCTGATGTTCTTGTGGGAAAAATATTAATCTGTCAAACAGAATAACAGCCCAGAGATATGTTCAGCTGCCATATTGAAAGAGTGCTAGAGACCAAGTGAAAAATTCTTTTGGAACAATCCTTCAAGTCTTATTTTTTTAAAACAAAAACATGCTTTTTTTTTTTTTTTTAATATAAAGACCACTACAGATTTCTATAACATGTCAAAGTTTTCAAGAGCAAACCTGTGATGTGAAGTCATGCTGTTGTAGCTGTCTCCCTTCTCTGAGGTCCCAAGATCTGACTGTATTGTCCAAACCTCCCGTCCAGAGCTTGGTGCCGTCATTAGAAATGTCAATACAGCTGGCTCCATCTGTGTGGCCCTGGAATTGCCTAAAATTGTCAAAAAGAAAACACCTAATCATGTTAGAAAGGATCAGTTTTGCTCCACATACTCAGAAGGGATCAGTGTTCATTTTCTGCGTAGATCATGTCTCTTTCTTGTTCAGTTTGTTTTTTATAATAACTCACGCTATTAAGGACAGTAATAGCATATTTTAGAAGATGGACGTCTAAAACTTCTGAGACAACCAAATTAATTGCGTGCTGAATAAATCAAACAATCAGGTTAATCGGTTGGGCACTAATTTTTTTTAAAATTAGGTTACAAGTTTCAGATCGGTGGTGGATCTTGGCCTTAACTGAGTGGGATTATATCACCCTTGGAGGTTTTAGCAAATGATTCTATATAAACTGGTTTAAGAAAAATCTGAAGGCCCCTTACAACTGCCAAAAGCTCACATTTACATGCCGTGTTAGATTATATTATTGTATACTATAGACCTATACTACTAGTTCTTAAAATGCTTTTCACTGTTGATAAGTAATGAACAATCTGAAGATTCATCCCAAAACAAACCAGATCTGAACACGGTGATTTAGGCTCCCTTTTACTTAAGTCACACATGCTTAACACAGATTGGATGCTCTGAGTGTGAACACAACATACTCTGTTTTTCACTCTTTTTTTTTTTAATCTGCTCTGAGCCTTTTTGGAAAGGGCAGAATATGAATCTGAAATAAATACAAATACAAGAAAACAATTCAAACAATTCCACTTCTGGAGGTGGGGAAACAAGACCTAGGGGACTCTTGATACCAGCTGATTTATTGAAAGTATGCAGCAGGCCCCAATCTGGAAACACTAGAACGCAACTTTCAAGCCTGGAATTATAAACTCCTCAAAGCCTACACAGTTACAATTTTATCACTGGCTAACTATTCAGGCTGCCTAACAATGATACACAAAAAAGTTAGGCTGACATAATTAAGATACAAGTTTATTTAAAAATCTAAGATGTGGGGAGGTAGAGACGGGGGAGGAAAGGCTATGCCTAATTAATTCTTCCCAACCTGTCAATCCAGTTCTGTTGACCTACCTGACTAAAGTCTGGTTGTGCAGGTCCCACACTGCAATGTTCCCATCGCTACAGCAGGAGAAGCAGACCTTGGAGTCAGGGCTGATAGCTAGAGCGTAGCAGGCTGGGGCAGAGGATGTCAGCTCTGCTTTTATACGTGGAGTTGGAGCTGCCAAGTCCCAAATGGATAACGTGCTGGCTTCCCCACCAACTATCAGGGTGCGGCCGTCTGGGAGTAATCTGCAGGAACGGATGTAGTTATCTCTGTTCTGTGGAGACAGAAGCCATCAAGAGATTACTCATGAGGAAAGGAAAACAGCATTAACATGAGAGCAGAAATCCATAAAAGTATTGTATTCCCTCCTGGTTTTAATGAGCCATTTATACTTATGACAATGATAAAGTGTATTAATGCCAGAAAATTACATGACATTAGGGAAGTACTTAAACTTGATCTGCAAAATTCAGTAGTGAGAGATATTTAATCTTAATTAGCATCAAAATGCAAAGACCTGCATCCAACCCCAAACAATTCAATGTTTCTGCATGCGACAGCTTGTAAGGAAAGTTATGTTTTAATACTTGGTTTATTTCAGTTTAACTCCGTGTTGTGAGTACAAATTCCTTGGCTTGTCTCTCCTCTGTTCCAGAGAGACCTGCTGCTACCATCAGGCAGTGATCAGATCAGGAAGATATTTCTGCAGTTTTCTTTATTTCCAGCATTTCGCAGCTTTGATTATAGCAGCACATACAACTGGAAGCAGCACGTACAACGCGTCATCAAGAAGTGGTAAACGACACAAAAGAAAAGCTAACAATAGCACATCTTGTTACCTCATGCAAATACATTTCCTGAAACTTAACAGCAACTAAGGGAGACTTTTAAAGTGTCACATACAGACAGGACATTATACACACAAAGGCAAATATAGACTAGAAAAACATTTTAAAAGATTTTATTGTAGAAGATTCTTGAAGTACAACACCCACATACCTCAAGCTGGACAACTTAGTTATGGAACAAACAATAAAACCACTTCAGTGACGCTTAGCAATTTGTATCCGCTCAACTTCAGTACTGATGACAGTCCCTGAACAATCACTATATTTCATATCTTAACAATATCATGTCAGCCCTACACCAACTGCTTTCTTTTACTCACTATCATTCTGTTCATAGTACATCATCATCTATAGGTCTTCACTTACCAAGCAGTCCAGCTGAGAGACAGGGCTCTTGTTTCCAGGGTGGCTGATATCCCAAACTTTGACACATCCCTTCCCACCAGTGTACACATGTCTAGTTGGGTTGCTGATGGTAACTGCACATACTACTTCTCCGTGATTCAGAGTATTTATCTGGCGAGCATGTCGAGGGATTCCTGGACCAATGAGGGCATCAGGAGGGAAAGGTACAGGCTGCATCTGGCCATCTGCACTTACATGAAATGAATATGCCCTACAAAAGGAAGGTGAATGTGATTAATCATGCCTGCTTCAAAAAAAGAACAAGCTATATCAACCAACATTTTAAAACATGCATGTAGCTTTGATACTTAATTCAGGCATGTAGGGTGCATACAGACATTTGCCACACCCAGTTTATGCTAATGAGGCTTACTTTAAACCACCTAAACATATTCCAGGAGCAGTGCATGCAGCTGGGAGCCATGCGGGGAAACCAGTACAAGTAACCTGGGGCGCAGAGGGGCAGACAGAATTGGGGAGGGAAGGTGGGAAGGGGAGGGAACAGCACAGCCCCAGGGCTGGGGCAAATAGCAGGGCTTTCCCAGCTCTGGGGCTACACTGCAAAGGCATCAGGCATTCGCAAGACTGGTTTAACGCTTTCTCAGGTCAAGTTAACCTGATCTCAAATCTAAGTTAGTGCACCTACTTAGGTAAACTGACTCACAGCACACCATTTTTGGGGCCATTTAAGCCCTCTGCATGCTTGCATGAATGGGCATTTAGATCAGCCTAACTCTGGTCAGGTTAATCTAAATGTAACACCTGTGGTCACCAAGCTATCTAGAGCTCCCGAACATCTTCAACTACATTTATGTTTATAGAAGCCATGGGTGTACATAGCACCTCTGATGACATGAGTACGTCTGGATTTAGATTCCTATCCACAGCACCCAGTTTGGAAACTATCAGCCTGAGAGTTCTTCGCAAGGCAAGCTATCCATCCGCAGACCAAATAGTTTCTATGTCTTAAGCCACATACTTATGATTACTATCATGAGCAGGGATATGTAATGCTAGTTTTCAAACTTCAGTGTACTCAAGACTGGGCCTGATATACATAAGCAGACTGAGAGAAGCCCACATCAAAACCTCCTTGAACACAGAAAGAGGAAGCCAGGAATTGCAGAATTTTAACACCTGGCTGAGCAAAAGAGATTAAAATGAATATTCCCTGAGAACATTTAATTTGTGAATATGAACCTCCAAGTGAGTATGTGTAGTGAAGTCCAACCACCTCTGAAGTTTTGTTGCATTTGTTTTGTTGAATGAAATCTCTGACTTCAAAGGGTTAAGTTCTCAAGGCGCAACTGCTGAAACGGCAGACTAGGAAAAATGTGCAGTGTTTTTGGGTTTTTTTGGGGTGTTTTTTTTTTTTTTTTTTTTAATTGACATGACAACCACAAATCCCAATTCTGCTTGCTGGAATCAGGACTCTCACTGAGAAAGAACGTGTTGCGTGACTGCCAGTTATGCCACCTGTGAATAACCTATCAACAACTTCATCTCAAAATATTTTCCAGGGAGAAGACTTAGGTTGCAAAATTGTTTTGTTCTAAGATGTGCTGTGTCAGACAGTAGCTATTACTGAACACAAATGTTATAAGAGGACCCATCTATATCTGTCTGTCTGATTGCTTGTTTAAAAGAAGTTCTTAATTTCCTTAGATTAGCATATTCCTGATAGTATTGAGAAGAAAACCAGTCATAATAGTAGACAAGACTAATTCGTAGAAATATTATTTTTTTCAGAATACCCTGAAATTAGGTGGAAAGACAGCCTTTACAAGCTAACCATTTTGCTTGATATTTCAGTCTCACAACACACTATTACAATGGCTTTTCAGCAGCATAAAGATTCAACTTTATTCACATAATCTTCCCTTTTTAATTTTTTTATCCCATTACCAGAAATCTTTCACTCTTTCTGCAGCTTTCACTATACTTTCTCTTCTCTTGCTCTGGCAGGCCTGAGTGACAGATCATCATCCTTCATTCCTGACACTAAATACATTCAGACAAGGCTCAAATGGATTGTCGCTGCTGTCAAAAGATGCAATCTGCTTAGTTTTAGTAGATTTTATTTTCAATTAGTGCCTATAGAAATCAGCTATCTATAAAATCTCATTATCTGTTTAATATACCAGCTATAGGCTTGACACTGTACGGTATTAAAAATAAAGCACTAACGCTCCCAGAGACATCGCAGTGATACCAAAAAATGAAATTTTGGCGTTATTTTTGAAACATCATACTTGGGCCAATACCAGCAAAGTTGCTTTGAGCACAGAAACCATCAGATGCCTTCAACAGAACTACACTGACTTACGCTATCTGAGGATTCAGCTCATAAAGCACATAAGTGCTATGTATAATTATTCAAATACAATTCATCCTGGGAAGATTCTGGTGCTGTATTTCTCTCTCTTTCTCCTACTCAACCATTTACTATGAGCCCTCCTGATAGAATTGTACCAATGTACTAAGCTCCTACAGTTATTAATATCTTAAAACATTGTCCTTTACATGTTTCAAGAATTGTAAATGCATTACAAATATATTCCATTATAAGCATTTTCATAGGTTTCAAAATACATTTCCTATGTTTTGATTCATATGCTGTACTGTTTCCTAGGACAATCAATCACAACAATTATGCAACAGTTCAAAAACAAAAAAAAAGGAAGTCAGAAACAAGCTAACCAATGCACTATATACTGTATATTCCATGATAGGGAACTCTCAGCAGAGAATTTATTAAAACTTTTTAAAAAGGGATAAATAATAAAAACAGACAGTGACAATTTTGAACAGCAGCTGTGAAAAATATTGAACTCAAGATGGATCAAATTTAATATTTGCCAAACACTTCAAGGGTTCAGTCTCTACAGCCATCAGATCTAGATGACAATAGATAGCCACTACTAACCTTCTGGATAGCCACTGTTATATCAATGTCATTCAAAAACCTTTGAGATGCAACAACACTTTGCACCTTTTATTCCAATATCAGGCATTTGGTATTCTATACACACACACAGACACACAGACAGGAAGAAGGTTATGTGGCAAGGTCCTGATCCTGAAAGTTACTTTGTGCCAACTCATTAAGTCTGCACATGACTCTACTGGAGCCAGCCTGGCTATATATATGATGGGATGTCCACCAGCACAGAGGAGGTAGTGGAATAGGTCATATGACAGCCAGTTACATCTGAACGGCAGGGGGAAAGGATACGACCATAGCATTTACAATTTTTACAATACACATGTATAATAAAATTGCACATACTATGATCGTGTCCCCACCCTTCATGTGTTACTTTGTTGCATGCAAGACCTGTAAAAGTAATAAATCATACCAACGGTACTAGACCCCTGAACTATACCAAAACCCTCTACCCTCTTCACTGTTGGCTGCTCACAATTTCTTGTATGCGTCACAGAGGACTTGGGAACCTTCAAGCAAAATTTAAATCAATATGGTTTGTATCACCATTTTATTTGCCCTTCTCCCCCAACTCAAGAGAAGTGAGTGGAGAGTTCTTCATATTTGTGTAATTCTTTTTTCCAGGTTCATAGCCATGGGTGACGGGTGCCACCTTAGTCA